TTTAGAATTATACTCGATAGTCAACAGGGTTTCACTGTGGAAAAATTTTGCCCTTCAAATCTTTTGACATTCTTGAAAAGGTTACTGCTTATGTAGATGAGAATAAGGGTGTCGATTTGATTTACCTGGATTTTCAGAAAGCATTTGACAAGGTGTCACATAAAAGACTTGTAAAAAATATCTCTATAAGTGTGGGAGATAAGTTAGCAAATTGGATGGAAGAAAGCAGAGGTTGTTACAAATGGAGTTCATTCAAACTAGATTAAAGTCACGAGTGGAGCTCAGTCTTAGGACTTTTGCTTGTTTGATTTACATCAATGACATAGATGAAGAGATGATCAATAAATTACTTAAATTTGCTGATAATATTAAGGTATTGGATATTGCTAGCTGTGAAGAGGATACTGCTGATTTACAAAAGGATTTAGATTACTTAATGAGTTGGGCAAATAAATGGCAGATGTGTTTTAATTATAATAAATGCAAGATAATGCATGAGTGTTATCATAATTTGAATGATAAGTATAATATGGATGGGAATAACCTTAACAGTGTCATGAAAGAAGTGATCTCGGTTTAATAGTTGATAAGTCTCTTAAGCCACCCAAACAGTGTGCTGTTGCTAGTAAAAAGGTGAATATTGTTTTAGGTTGTATATACAGAAACATTGAATACAATGGTGCCTGTAATGGAGGAGTTGTCATAATAGGAGAAAATTAAATCTCTCAAATTGTTTTCTCTTGAAAAAAGAAGAGTTAGAGGGGATTTCATTGAAGTGTTTCAGATTGTAAAGGGAATTGATGTATTGATGCATCATCTTTTTTCATACTTAACAGTAAAAATAATAGAACTAGGGGACACAAGTATAAATTTTGACAGGATAGGAATCATCTTCAGGTTAGTCAGGGTGGTTGGTCTCTGGAATGTTTTGCCTTCGGATGTTGGGAAGGCAGTAAATTTAAATGAGTTTAAACTTGATAAGTATATTGTTACGTCTGTGTTCGTTTGCTAATTTTCCTCAGAAATTGTTTCCACAGAACTTCAGTGATACAAGTCCTTTATAAAATAAAACTAGTTTATTCTTTCTCAATACAACTTTGCAATACACTTAATTTCCACAGTCACTTTAACTTCAATACACGCTATAATTCACAATGATTTACACACTTTACTTACGGCTTAACTCAATTATCTGTCTATATCTTCAATCTCTCTGTCTGCTATTCCAGTTCCGATTAATTATCTCGCTTTATCTGGCGCGCTTACATACAGGTATAGAGGACGTCTAGAAATACTGGATAATTCGTGATGTTCCCCGATCCTTCCAGAAACTCATCACGTGTAACCAGCTTCCGCTCTCGTAACACTGCCCCTTCCTTAGTATTGTTCGGGACGAACAATAGCCACTTAAATTAAACCAATAGATAATCAACAATAACTTAACTAAATGTACAGAATTTACAAACACAAAATTAAAATACAACAAAGTCTCTTAATTTTACGGGACGCATCTTCTTCCGTACTGGTCTCTGTTTCATTGGCTTCTGCTTCACGTGGGGTTCATCTGCTCCATCAGGAAATGTCCCATTATCGGAAGCAGTAACATCAGTGGTAGTAACTTCATTAAGGGCTTCACTGTTTTCCTTCTCAAAACCAGGTAGAGTTTATTCTTCAACAGTGGCTTTTCCAGGTGACACGTCTTCAGCAGCGTCATTTGTTCCATTGTTCACTTTGTTCCAATTGAAATGTCCTGGGCTGTGATAACGCCAAAGCCTGTTGGCATGCACCACCTTTGGCTTACCTCGCCGACCATATTTTATTAGGAAAGTCACGTCTGAGAGACGATCCACTATGCCATATGGACCTTCCCATGGAGAAGACAACTTAGGAGACTTCCCTTTGGTCTTTCTGGGATTATACAACCACACCTCATCTCCTGGTACAAAGCTGACTTCAGTAGATCTCTTATCATAACATAGCTTCATGGAATCATCAGACGTTTTCAAGTTTGAATGCACTTGATGGTGAATATAATCCATCCTTTCAGATAACACTTTCACGAACTCTGACACATTTTCAGGCAACTCTTCATAAGGTGGGCGTCCTGTTAACAGATCCACTGGCAACCGAAGTTCCCAACCAAACATCAACTTTGCTGGAGTGTATCCAGTGGTTTCATGCTCTGCTGTTCGATAGGAAATCAACAGTGGCGGGAGTAAGACATCCCAGTCATCTTGGCAGCTATTACAAAACTTTGTCAATTCCTGTCCCAGTGTCCAATTGTACTTTTCTACCATCCCATTGGACTGTGGGTGGAGTGGCATTGTCCTGGTCTTTTGTACGCCAAACAACTTGCAGCATTCATGGAACACAGTTGATTCAAAGTTACAGCCTTGATCTGAATGCAATTCGTATGGCATACCAAACCTGAAGAAGAAATCACTAATAGCCGAAACTACAGTTGTAGCTTCCTGATTTGGTATTGCATATGCCTCAGGCCATTTCGTGAAATAATCCATCACCACACAAATGTACCTGTTTCCATCACGAGTTTGGGGCAAAGGACCAGCAATGTCAACGGCTACTCTTTCCATTGATGCACCAACCTGATATAACTTCATTGGAGCACGTCCTTTATGCTTGGGTCCTCTTTTAGCACAACATGTACTGCATGTCCTGCACCATTCTTCCACATCTTGCCTCATTCCCAGCCAGTAAAATCTCTGTCGTAGGTGAGTCAATGTCTTTGTAACTTCGAGATGTCCTCCTGTTAAGCTATCATGGGATTGACGCAGCACAACTTCCCATAACTTTCTTGGTATAACCATTTGCCAGGTCGTCACTTTCCCATCTCTGGAGAAGAATACCATCTTCAAGCTTCAACTGGTCCCATTGTGCCCAATAATTCTTTGTCACAGGGCTTAAGCTAGAAGACACCTTCTCTCAAGCAGGGCGCAAAACACTTGCTTGTAGAAAATTAATTATTGGCTTCAAATCTTGGTCTTTATCTTGCTCTGATTTAATATCTATACTTCGTTCCACTTCACCATCATCAACTCCTTCAGTCACTTTGACTTCAGCTTGATGACACCTGGTAAGTTCAACCTCTCTTTGAGACTTACGGAAATTTGGCCTTCGTTGTTCACAAACGTCATTTTATCGAAATTAACTACACACTTCATCAGTAGTAAGTAGGCCAACCCTAATATGCATTGGTCTTCAAT